TCTGATGTGCAACTGAGGAACTTTGTTTAATGTGTTACTGTGCACCATGTGCTTGCATATAAGACTTATTTGGGAACTGTTGTATTAATTATGATACATACCTCTTGATATGAACAACTGCATGCATATGCAACTACACCAGAACTTATGTGGACAATGCCATATTGTACATGACTTGAAATACTTTGATATAAACGGTTGTGATGAATGACTCTGATATGACTTTGAGAACTGATGGACTTAGGACAGTTGTGAAACTATCGACTATGTACCTAAGCAACGAAGTATGCCTTACAGAACCAAATCAACCCTATTTGAGAAAACTTTTATCTGATTCGATCCGATAGAACTTTTGTTTGATTTGGCTTGGTAGAACCCTCATTGGATATGATTTGATGAGACCTTTACTTGAATTGATTTGATAAGACCCTCTATCAAATTTGAATTTGTTAAAGGGGATTAAGAATTTCTTATAATAAATAACCAGGCTATTCTTGGCAAGAAAACTGATAGACCCAAAACTTGAATCCGTTTGGAATACTTGACTTACTTAGAAGACCTTACGTGGGCTATCAACAGACCAATCGAACCATGAACACCATTGAGAACCAACCTTCAACTATTGAGTACATATGTGTTAAAAACGAACTGGTTTGTGCAAATCCAGTGATTGGGTGTCGTAAGGAACAATGCTTGTGTGCTATCATATTCTTGCTTATTTGACGCTATGGAAACCGATGACAGTGGATTGATTTGATTGTAAACGGTACTGAATATTTATCCTTGACTAATCAGAATATGTTTCATATGTCTGCTTTAGTGTTATCGGATTTTGGGAAATCAAGTTATGGTGAGTGGTATTGTGTTTGTTTTGATGACATTCTTGAGACGTCCTTTCGTGCTAGGGGACGTTAAGCCTATGTAGCACCTTTGTTGAGATATCTCTCTTGCCACCGACGATTTTGCACGGGTGGGTTTGTCTAATCGATCTCAGGTCGGCCACCGACGGTCGTGAATGGGTGTGCTTTGATTCCTAGACGATTATTTCCTTGTTTTGTCTGGAATGTCATCCTTTGGCATTATGTAGATGTTATTGACATCCAAGAAACCTTGAAAAACCTTGATTATCCGTAAGTGTGTGAATTCAGTATGCCTTGTGTAAATAACTGCTCAGTGCCATTATATTTTGCAATTGGGGCTCTGAGGATGTGTAAATTGTGTTTAACATGTGATTGGATGTTTTCAATATTACCTTTAACACCATGTGGATTAGTATGTGAATTACCTTATGGTTTTGACAACTATCAGATAATGTGGAAAGACTCTATGGAACAAGGGATTGAATATTGAATTGAAATGGAAACCGTAAACTGTTGAATGAATTGAGAACACGTGTATAGTGGTAGAAATCGACTGCTTCGATGTTATTGTACTTTACAATCAGTATTAAGGGGATATGTGGACTATGTGCATTGTATGGGTAATTGCTTCGATGCTACCTTTGTTGATTTGAGAATCAGTATCTGGATCCACTTCATATTCCTGAAGACTTTTGATTGACCTTGGGTAACTATGATGAGTCACTGAACTAAATACCGAATTGGATTGTGAATTGTGGAATTGTTGAAAAATGAATTAAACTTTTGTGACAAGGAAATCGTTGAATTTGTGTCCAAATGTTTTCGGTGTCAACAAGTCGAAGTTGAACATTAGATGTAGACGGGACTACTTCGACCTCTCTCCATTTCGGAACGGAAATAGGAATGTGTGGCTACGAATTTCATTGTGGGGCTACCTTGAGCACCCAAAGTATAAGTCTCGTTTGGGTTATTATATGAAAGATTACTAAGTTTGCCCATTTCCTCCCTGTAAAATTTTCGTATGATGTTTGTAGACTAGCCACTGTTTATATCAATAAGATTGCTCGTTTACATGGGGTCCCAGTATCTATTGTTTTAGAGAGGAATCCTAAAATGCATTTGAATTCTGACAAGCCTTCGAGAGGCAATGGGAACTGAATTGTGAGTCAGCGCTACTTTCCATCTGCAAATTGATGTATAATCAGAAAGAACTTTTGGGAGAAATGCTCCAAATATATGCAGTAGATTTTTCAGGGAATTTGGAAGATCTATCCATTATTGGTAGACCTTGCTTACAACCACAGCTTACACTCTAGTTTTGGTGTGACACCATACAAGCCTTGTATGGAGGAAAAGGTAAGTCTCTGACTGATTAAGAACAGAGTGTTGCTTGATTTTGAAACTAAGGAAACGACTGTCAAAAAGGATTGGAATCGTTGAATGAAAAGTGTTCCAAATTGTGTTCGACTAAAGGTGAAATAAGTTTGAAGGACCAAACTACCTAAAGGGGGGAAGACTGTAATAACCCTGTTCCGTACTATGCTAATTGGTCCTTATTATGAATATGATTATGTGTTTGATATGTTTATGTGTGCCATTTATGTGAAAATATGTGGTTTTGAATTTCTATCTGTTCACCGTAGGAATATTTGTTTGACTATCTTCTTTGGAATTTAAATTGAAGGCCTTATCGGCCACAGAAATCAAAATTGATTGCGCCATTGTGATTGGCATATTTTTTAGAGCCTACGGTGAAATTTAATTGAAAATTGATTCAGATCAGATTAATTAGATTAAATTAATGCTATAGTGCCCAATTATCTAATATTGGCAATTATAATTGAGGGAAATTATATAAGTGGGGCACTATACACCCAATTCTCCTTTTTAGCTTCATTTTGGCTGATTTTGAACTCAAGAAAAGAGAGAGGGCCGGCTAGAGAGAGAGAGAGAGAGGGAAACAATTGAAGATTTGCTCAAGAAGCTTGAATAAATTGAAGACTAACTCAAGATTTGACCATAAATTGGGGAGATTGAGCTTCTAGGTGAGCAATTGATTATGAAGTCATGAGTTTAATGTTGTAATTTGTGAATTCAAAGTTGAATGATGATAAAGAATATGAATTGAGTTAGTTTTCTTGAATTTGAAGTCAATAGACACATGCATGTAGGAAATTGCCATAAATTTCTATATTTGAGCATAAAGTGTGTAATCCATGTTGAATGTGAATGAAGTCCATGTATTTGATCATCTCTTCACCAATTAAGTTGAGAATAATGAGTATCTCCTACATGCAAGTGCAAATCATGAAAGTGTGAGCTTTGAATGTTTGAATTTAGTGTGTTGGTGATGAGTTTGAGTCAATTTGGAACATGCATGTAAGTAATTCTTGGAATTGAGCTTCATAATGTTGTAATTTGGTGTTTGTACCATGTTAGTACATATATATGCATAGTTTGAGCCAAAATCATGTGTTTAGAGCCTTTGAATGTCAAGTTGAAGCACGAGAACATGTTCTAGAAAATCCAGAAATTTTGATGTCCGCTCGAGCGGGGGATCCGCCGTTCGAGCGTAAAATACGAGCTCCCAGTATTTTCTGCAGACATGACGTCCACTCGAGTGGGGAAATTCACGCTTGAGCAGGGAGCTATGCAGACTGATCTTCAGCTCGAGCGTCCGAGTTCGCGTTCGAGCATGAAAATGTTGTATCCAGTACTTTTGCAGACCTCATGGGTCCGCTCGAGCAGGAAAGTCCACGCTCGAGCGGGGACCCCTGTTTCTGGAATTTTGAGAATACGTTCTGTGTTTCGTTTTCCGTTCCCCTTCACTTCTAAGTACTCTTAGGCATGCATTAAGCATTGTAAATGAGTTAAAAGGGATAAGAATAAAGCCTAAAGAGGATTATGTGAATTAAGAACGGATTGAATCATTTGTGACCCATTTGTATTATGTGATGGGTAGGGTCAAGCCCCAGGGCAAATCAACCAACCGATCACTGTGAGTAGTATCTTAATAAAGATATCTGGAATATGCTATTTGTCCAATTACTTAGCTTCATATAAGTCTGTTAATTTGAATTGTGGACAACCGTTTGCTATGCCTAAAGAGTGAATGGGCCAAAGGCCAGTTCGATACGAAAATGTGAATGGGCCAAAGGCCAGTCCGACATGAATGAAAGTGTGAATGGGCCGAAGGCCAGTCTGACATGAATGATAAAGTGAATGGGTCAAAGGCCAGTTTGACATGTATGACATAAATGAATGGGCCAGAGGCCGTACGACATGGATGAATGGGCCAAAGGCCAGTTTGACACGAATGAGAGAATGAATGGGCCAAAGGCCAGTCTGACATGAATAAGAGAATGAATAGGCCAAAGGCCAATCTGACATGAATGATAGTCTGACATGAATAATGGTCTGGCGTGGATGAATGGGCCAGAGGCCGTTTGATATGAATGAATGGGCCAGAGGCCAGTTTGACATGAAAGATAGAATGAATGGGCCAAAGGCCAGTTTGACACTAATGAAAGTATGAATGGGCCAAAGGCCAGTTTGACATGAATGGATTGGGCCTGAGGCCGTCCGATATGTTTGGAACTGCAGTCACCTGCCCTATGTATACCTGTATATACATTAGATAGAATATGAATTGGGCCCAAGGCCGTTTGTCGTATGTTGTCCTAATGTATCTTCTTTATTCGATATTGTTCACTGAGCTTTTGCTCACGCTCATTCGTGAGTATATAGGTGAGCCAAGAGCGGTCTAAACCCAGCCTCAGTGAAGTCTGTGTGAAACAACCAAGGTTTTGAGGAGTCAGCCCTTGCGTCTCACGCACGAGACACGTCTTCGCCCTTTTGCTATCTTGTGTCATTTTGTCATGTTGGCGAGGACTTTGGATACGTTTGTACATAGTTTTGATTGGCTGACCTAGACTTTAATGATCCTGTTTGTACAAAACTTTATGCTGCTGTATTGTTTGATGTGAGTTATTAATATCTTTATGTACGGTTTGTTATGATGTGCCATGTAAGCACAGCTTTATGGACAAAGTTTTAAATTTTGCTTCCGTTTGACCCCTTTACTCTGATGAGATATGTCTGATTTGGTTTGAGGCCGTAGGTAATTTCCGGATTACCGACCGGTTATGTCCTTAACCCATGGGGGTGGGTTCGGGTCATGACAGTACTCGCGCATCATATGCTCGAGATCGTCGTCATTCGTCACCGATATCAACGCGTCGAGATCTTCGCCAGGCAACTGGTACTCAAAGCAAACATCGGCGTGGCAGAGGACCGAGAGTTTTCTGATGAGTCCGGTGAACTTGGTGTTGCGATCGACGGCCAAGATCTTTGTTTCACCGTCGATGTACGATAACTTTTTGTCTTGAGGCCTAGAGTGGAATTTGCCGCCGTAGCTACACATGAACTTGACTTCGTAGTTGCTCGACGGTGGCGGCGCCGGTTGCTCCTCCCACGGCGGCGTGTTTTCGAAGTCGATTTCAGTAGACCACGGCAAGAAGTCGCCGGAGTCCAGGTTTGACATGGTGTAGGTGTCGTTCTCCATCAGCGTAAAATAGCAATGAATGAGTAAAACAAGAGAGAGAGAAAGAGAAGGAAGGGAGGGAGGAGGGGGGTTATTGTAGAGAATCAGAGAAAATGGGGAGATCTTTTTATTTTGCTGTGGTTAAGGGTTTGTTTATATTGCGCAGTTGATCATGAATTTTTTGTACATTAGGTTGTTTTGTTGAGGACGTAGGGGTGGATTCGGTGAGAAGTGTGGATAGGGGTGTAAATTTGGTTCGGCTCAGTCCGGTTCACTCCAGTTCGGGTTGGGACGGGTCTATGTCGGGCTTTACGTGCTCTCGTCAAAATTGAGGTCGAGCCGGGCCAGAGACTAGAAAATTAGGCCCAGACCTAGAAGGTATTCGGGCCTTGGGCCGGGGCAGGTGGACTAGGGCCTGGGCTTGGGTTTGGGCTTGGGCTGGGGGTAGGCTTGAACAAATTTTTTTTTAAAAAAAAATTTCTATCAAAATTTTTTTATTTTACATTAAAAAAGACATTGGGCCTTCAGCGAGCTGGGCCTTGAGTGAGCCTTAAGCGAGCCGATGGGCCGGGCCAGACTTTAAAATAATCACCCAAGCCCAAGCCTAGGGTCTCAGGCTGGGCTCAGGCCCGAGCCTAAATAGGTTGGGCCCACCCCGGGACATGGGCGGGCTTCTGGGTACCCACGGGCCGTGGGCCATTTTTACACTCCTAAGTGTGGGTTTGCAAAGAGTGTGGTGAGTAATGATAGCAAGAGTTGTGGTTGGCTGGAATAAAGAGGGTATGGGCTTGGGTTAGGCAAACAAGGAAGAGAGAAAGAGAGACATGTTGATTGGGATTAGCACTTTGAGAAGGTAGGGGAGACTGCCAGGTCACGGTTGCCACGTGGATTCTAATTTGACATAATTGATATAAATTTATTGAATGATTTTCGTCTCAACATAGTAATCTGGTAAACTAAGGAGGACTAGATCATCTGCAACCAAGGGTGGGCACGAGTAAGTTGCAGCCACAGAACCTCCAATCCGTCATTCGTCTGTCAGATTAGCGGATTGGAAAAAATTAATCCGCATCCGTCGACCAATCCGGCGGATGTGGATTGAGCGGATTGGTGGACGGATGCAAATCGGTTTAGCGGTTTAAAATTTTATAATTTTTCAACATAATTCAACTTGTGCACTTCCTCAAAACAAAATAAAAAAGTATTACAATGAATGACTTAAAAAAGTATTACAATCACGTTACAATCACTGCATGTCTCATCCACATATTGTAATCACAGCATGCCTCATCCACATAAAGTATTACAATTTGTAGTTGTTAAAATATAAAAACAATTCAAACCACCAAAACCATTAACAGAGCAGCAGCGCAGATTGTATGCCTCTGTATTATTACATCTATATCTGTTTTTGAAAACAAAAATCAACTAGTATGTATCATCTTTTTTATTTATTATTTTTAGAGTTTGATTTAAAAACCAAAAAATATATTCAAGTTGAAAATTCTTTTTCAACAAAACATATTCAACAAAATATTTAAACTCTTTTTCAATTGAAAATACAAACAGAATATCTAAACAAATTGAAAACACAAAGTCTTACAAATTACAATGAGTGCTCGCAGTTTGGCGGTTCGGTTGCGGCCAAAGGAACCTTAAATCCACCTGTAACATACATGGGGGGTACCCCTTCGCATTAAACAGTTCGAACCCTCGATCTCTTTGATCTAGTCTCACTAGTGCAATGTGAAACATAGATGAAAGTTCAGATTTGGCAGCTTTTAGAAAATCCATTTGATTGCAAAACCTTTTGCCTGAAATGGACTGCGTCATCCGAGCTCAGAGTCGCCACCTAATATTTTTGGAAAATTAGGAAACCCATGACTCGTGCCAATGCCACTGTTCATCATAACCAAAGTTGTCTCGATTCGGAACCTTAGGTATAAGAGGTTAAGGTCATTAATTGAGCACCCCCGCTCACCCGGTCAAAAGAACGGCCTTTACTAAACCATGATATGAATTTTATTTTATATGTTCATATTTCGATTATTTAACAAATCCTAAAAATTACTATGTGAAGCATACGAATATAGACTATGTCATTTATTTTGGAATAATTTGATTTCATGTATTTTAAAAGAGTTTTGAAGATGTATAACCCAAATAAATTGAGTTTACAAACATGAAAAATCAACATTATTCCAAATTAAGCGACACAACCTCTATCCAATGGCATTCATACAGTTATATCAAGTAAGCAAGTAGCCACATGGTAGGATGCTTAAACATAATAAGAAAAACACACACAAACGGGATGCTAAAGTATAAAAACTTACATGTTTGACGTCCCGCGAACAAGCTACAAAACAAAGTTAGTAAATCATGCATGATCTTATATACAAAATCCTAATGGAATTCATTCATGAGAGGCAACTAAAGATTCGGCTTCTAAGCTATGACATGTGAATCATCTTAAGAATATGAGGTAACGCACATAATCACATAAGAATTGATTAAATCCACAAATGCAAAATTAGCCGAATCAAGGTGCATGAAACATAGATGCAAAGCAAGGACATACTAAAAAAATAAAATAAAATAAAATAAACATGATGCATATCCACAAATAAGGAAAGCAAGTAAAAGAACGGGATAGAAAGAAATAGGGCGGGAAATTATTACAACACTTTGAATAAATTATTATAAACCAAATGAGAGAGAGAGGAGGGAATATTGCAATAAAATAAAATAAAACCTCACAAAACACTCTAAATAAAAATAAACAAAATAAAAGCTTTATGTTCCTTGGAACCGTCAGCGAAAATTGGTCAACATTGGGAGATTACGCCATCTTGTCCGAAAGAAGTTAACTGACTGGCCAAGTAGGCCGAGCAAAACCTATCTTGTTGAGAAACCAAGAAAAGGAACAAAAAAGAAATATGTAAATGGCTCAACTAACCACTACCGGTTAGCTTACAGCATAACTATGAAACAAGAGTAAGCAAATAATAATAATAATAATAATGAGCTAAACAAACCACTTGGATTACAACAATACACTATGAAATAAAAAGTATGAAAATAAATATGAGATAAACAAACCACTTAGATTATAACAAAACACTATGAATTATAAAGTAAGAAAATATATATGAGATAAACAAACCATTTGGATTATAACAAAACACTATGAAATAAGAAGTAAGAAAATAAATATGAGATAGAAAATATAAGAAAATAAAAGACTAGAAATTCACCTTCCAAAGAAAGATTGAACTTTTTGATTTCCAAACTTCCTCTTGATCACCCTCAAGTTTAGGAAGTGTGTTCTCAATCCTCAATTCAAAACTTGAATTTGAGCTTGGAATGACAGTTTTGAACAAGGGTATGATCACTCTTTTCTTGGCAAGAATACTCTCTCTTTGATTAAGGCTTTGAGTGGTTTTGACAAGGGAAGATAAGATGTAAGAGCTATGTAACTTCACTAGTTTGGCAAAATAACTCTCTTGTTTTTAAGACTTTCTTTTCTTTCAAATTCTAACACAATTTTAGCATTCTCTCCCTACACTTCTCTTTTTCAAAATTCTTCTCCAAATTCAAGACTAGAGCTCTTATTATATAGCCAATGCAAGTGGGCATTGGTGGAAGACAAAGTGGAGGACAAAATGGAGGATAAAGTGGAAGACAAAGTGGAGCATTTTTTTTTTTTTTTATTTAATTTTTTTTTTTTTTTTTTTTTTTGAAGATAATGGAGTTAATGGGGAACAATGTATAATGAAGGTGAATGGTGATGGTAGTGTGTGATTATGAAAATAGATGATGAGTTGGGATGATGAGATGTGATTGTGAAAGTAGTTGGTGAATGGAGATAGTGGGATGTGATTATGAAAGTAGATGATGAGTGAAGATGGTGGTGTGTGATTATGAAAGTAGATGATGAGTTGGGATGGTGGGATGTAATTATGAAAGTAGATGATGAGTTGGGATGGTGGGATGTGATTATGAAAGTAGATGGTGAATAGAGATAGTGGGATGTGATTATGAAAGTAGATGGTGAGTGGGGATGGTGGGGTGTGATTATGAAAGTAAATAATGAGTTGGGATGATGGGATGTGATTATAAAAGTAGATGGTAAGTGGGAATGGTGGGGTGTGAATGTAAAAGTAGATGATGAGTTGGGATGGTGGGATGTGATTATGAAAGTAGATGGCAAATGGAGATAGTGGGATGTGATTATAAAAGTAGATGGTGAGTGGGAATGGTGGGTTGTAATTAAGAAAATGGATGGTGAGTGAGCATTGATGGGGTATGATTATGAAAGTGGATGATGAGTGGGAATGGTGAGCTATGAAGCAGTTAAATATTATTTGGGGGAAAATATGACACAATATGATGCTTTGGCAGAGTGGCTAAGGTTTAGAATGTGGAGTCTTAGGTTAAGGGTTCAAACTGCCTTCCAAGCATTCCTTAAATTCTTTTTTTTTTTTTTTTGGGTAGAGACACGTCAGCGCCACATTATCAGCAAGGATCAATCCAGTCATGCCACGTCAGCAAAGCTGCCATGTTAGCGTCACAGTCAACATTGACGGAATATTCTCTAACTTAATAGAATATTCCTTCACATAACAGAATATTCATTGAGTTTTGAAAATTACAATTTGGCCCAGAAGTTTCAAATAATTGTGCTATAACCTAGATTTTGGGAGAATTTTTCAATGAGGCCCCCGAAAGTGCAACGAAGGTTGATCCTAGCTAAACGAACTATATTGGACGTAACCGTGAGGTCAGAATATTCCCTTGGAAAAGTAATTTGGGCTGTTTAGGTTTGGAAACAGAGCTCAAATTCTAAGTTTTCTTATTAAGGATTTTGTGAGAAACACCTTCTTATTTTGTCATCATAGGGTAATCAAAAGAAAGCGTCCAAGTCTTAGGGCCGGTCAAATTGTGGTGTCTACAATTGCGCCTCTTTGACAGAGCTCGAAGTCATTTCATGATGTAAGTGAATGTCAAAGCCCGAAGAC